TCGTGGCGTTTGGGATGTTTGTTTTTCACAGGTCGACAACAAAAGTGCAGCGAAGCTCTCGTGGGCTGGTCACCGGTCCGCCGCTGTCCTGGCTGCGCCCCCATGCCCGAGCGTGGTATCAGTCGCTACATTCATACATTGTCAATGAGTCTGGCTGGGTTTGACTGAATCTGGCCCCGTTTAGCGGAACACATCCATCCGTGGAAAAATAAATAGCTGGGTTTGACTGACTCTGGCCCCTGGCCCCGTTTAGCAGAACAGACACGTCCGTGGAGAAATAAACAGCCAGAAAAACAGTTTTTTTTTTTTTTTTTTTTTTTTTGGTCGGAAAGTCCTTTTGGAAGCCCACTATCCTCCCGGTGGTGAGAGAACCGCCAGAACTGAGGGCTTGACCCTCGGCCTGCTCCATCTATTGGTGGGGAGGGACATCTGCTGGAAACCAGGTCCAGCTTTACGGCATAGCTTATTTGTTTCCATTCGCTCCTGGGGCTGTGGCCTCTGCTCTGTCTGTCCAATAGCTCCTTTCTTTCCCTTTGGACTGTCTGTATTTCCCACCCTATCATCGAGCTCTGTTCCCGCTGTTAGCCCAGCCGGCTCACTGGAATTCTCATTTTGAGAAAACAGTTCAGCTGTGCGGCCAGCTCAACGCTGTTTTCTTTGTTGTTGTAGACCCTTTTTCGCTTTTTTTTGCCTGTTTAGGTCCAGATACAGGGAGTCCGTAGGCTGCTTGCTTGGGTCTGTCCCAGGCTGTAGAGTGGGTAGGCTGTAGAGTCTAGAGGGCGAGTGGTACAAAAGTGAGCCCAGCGATTTTGTACGGGCTATGCTCGTCATTTTTTTCCGCTTCGTGCTGGGAGGTCGTGTCTGTGTTTGTGCGCTATTCTCAGCAGCGCTACCCTCTTTCCCTGAGCATAACGCACCCTCACAATGAAGCTACCGGTCCAGTACAGCCATAATAAGGGTGCGCTGTGGTCGGGGAAGACGGTACCATCCTTCTCCGAGTTGGGGGCTGGCGGCCATAGTTGTGGCCATCTCTGCTCGCCATCTGGCTGCACTGGGGTTCAGGCCCTAGGCGCTGTATGTGCCTCCTATTTGCGTGCTGTCGGGGTTATGAGAGGGATGCCACCGAAGCTCTTCGTTGAAGACACAGTGTTCTTCGAAGTGGCAGCCATCTTCTTCTTCATCAAGTTGTTGGCCATCTTCTTCACCCTGGGAGCTGCACTCCCCAAATCAGCAGCGCGAAATTCCCTGGATCCCGACCATGTTATCAACACCCACAAACCAATTAAAGTACAGTTTCATGGTGGGATCCGTTCTAG